CTCTTTCTCTCCTTTCCTCCCTCCCTGTGTCTTTTTTATTTAAATACCTCGCNAAATACCTCCCCCCCCCCCCTTTGCCTTTCGTGTTCAACAGTGGCGAGCTTCTTTTTCAAGGTTCCCTCTGTCCGTCTTTTTCACGGTCTCCCTTCCGCCCTCGGTTTCACGTCCCTTCGCTACAGCCACCCTCTCTCGTTTGCCTTTCTCTCTCTCTCTCTCTCTAGCGCGTCCCAACCCCTGGCCGTCCTGCCCTTCTCTATAACGGCAGGTACTCTACCCTCTTATCCTCGAGCAACCACTACCTTTGCCTTCAAGCAAAGAGGGAAATGAAAGCGAAACTGTTCGACAGTGCTCTCCGCCAACTTGCCGTTCTCGCCGTCTCTCTTCTCCTACGGCTTTTTTTCGTCCGTCTCGCTCTCACCCTCTCTCCGTCTCTCTCTGTCTCCCGCGTAGCTCGCCTCCCTCTCTCTGTACGTCTCTCCTTTTCTCTCTCTACCTCTCTCTCTCTCTCTCTCGCGCTCTTCCGTTACGCTCGTCACCCCTATTTCTCTCTCTGGCTTACACGCTCGCGCCTCTTTTCCTTCCTACCACCGCGCGGCTGCCGTCCTCCTTCCACCCTTCTAATTTTTCCACCCCTTTCACTAAAATTAAAATCAATAGTGGCACCACGTACCCGGGGACTATGCCGGAAACACCGCTACCCTCATCAGCTGCTGCCTACCGCAGACTCCGAAAAGCATATACATTACTATGCCAGCTAGTCTATATATTAATATTTCGCGCTCGCACGCGAACGCGCGCGTACGCGCCGTGCTTGAGAAGATTTTTATTTTCGGATTGGCAAATCACGCGCCTGACGCGTATTAAACACACGGCGTAAAAATGTAGCGAAACTACCAATGCAGCAGAGAGAGAGAGAGAGTGGGAAAGAGCAAACATAAATAATATATATTGGAGCGTACAAAGCACCGACGGGTAAATGAGCTTACGAATAATCACGAATAATACATATTATTCGTACGTTTCGTGTAATTCATCCGGCAAGATACAATTTGCCGCGCGAAACATCCTTCTGGAAATACTTCGTGATATGCGATGAAAATCAATAATTTCCGCGTGCAGTCTCGGAGAACACACCGGCGAAAGGACTTGTTATAATAGACTTTACGTGAGTTTCGACGTAACGTTGAATAAGTAAAATGATAATTGAAAAACGTTTATACATCCTCAGCTATAAACACGGCTGAAGAAAGAGAGAGGGAGAGAGGGGGAGAGAGAAGCGTCTTTATTTCATGAGACAAAAACGGACGCATATATATTCGGGGATGCGCCACGTCAGATGTGTCGGCTGAGTAACAGGTACGGTTCGATCCACTGTTAAAGCATACAGGTGGTCGACTATGCTTCCATCATTCCTTCGATGCGAGTAAAAATTTCTACCATGCACGTGCCAGCCACGCACACACACGCCCATAGTGTTTGCATACGGAATTTTTTACACGTGCGCGAATAACAGAATAAAAATCTGACGCCTGCTGAATAAAAAGTTGCATTCGATAACGTTCGCGGTTGGCGTTAAGTGCTATTAACTCGTTGCTTCTCTAACTAATCTAACAGCGTCATTTTACGTAAAATACTCCTCTTTTTTCGCTTCCCCACTTCGATCCGCGCGTGGCTATAATTTACATAATGAGGAATAAATATCTAGAATTTTCTATCGCTTCAAAGTCTAGGGCTGCAGTTGTGAGATCCGCGCTTCTCTGAAGTGAGAAAAATTATTTAAAAAAAACAAAAAAAAATATATATAACTACTTCTTAACATACAAAAGCACGACAGCGTTTAGCCCTTCGCCGACCCTGCGATAGCGTTCCACGTTTCATGTTTTCAATCAACTCGCGTGTCAACGACTATTACACAGTCGGCGTTATTGTTTCGGAAATATTATTGCAAAAACATCCGGCCGTGGGACAATTAGCTACGACTATTACGTAGCCGTACGAAAGCCGCCGAGATTGTAGTCAGTTAAAGCGAAAATATAAATAGTCACCAGAGATCGTTACTTCTCTCTCAGTGAAATTGGGGCGCGAGGGGAAGATCTCGATTCGACTTGCGGTTACTTATTTTTCATATAGTGGGGAAAAACCTTTTCTTACCTACTTCTACGATCGAGCCTCCGAAATACGATACGAACCCTCGGCTCATCGCGGCGTAACGATTGTTCTCGACATTGTTCGAGAATAAAGTTTGATGCGTAGGATGCGACTGTAAACAATTCCATCGAGCTCGTCCCGTAGCTTCTCGCTCGCATGTCCCACCATCACCGGCTTCTGCGACGTTTCCTTGCAGGAGGCAAGAAGCGACGACACTCTCGTGCCGTTACAATTACTACTCATAATTGAACATAAGCAGTCGCGCGGCCGCGACGATCCTTGTCGCCATTCCTCTTGTATTCTTCGACCCCCCACCCCCGTTGTTTCAACCCCCCTGTGTACACCTATTCTGTCCCTCTATTCCCTTATGACCCCTCGGCAACGCCGTGGCAGCGCCATCGGCCTCGGTCTCCCTCTTCTCTCGCGGCGTATTCGCGGGATGCGAACGTACCGCCCTCACTGGTGCCCACAATGCGATGGTGGTATTGATTTAAAAGTACATTCGTGTTTTCATAATGCCGTATCTGTACCGACGTTCAAACTTGCCCCCGCGCGCTCGTCCCGGCGACCGACCGTCCGCCCGCCTCCGCGTGCCCCCCCGCGCGAGAGCACCGCGCGCGCAACCCCCCCGGTGTAGCTGCAACGACGCTCTTCCATCGGCACGACGACCGATCCGACTCCCTCGCTTTTCCAATCGTTTCATCCGACTATATTCCCTCCCCTGATCTATCCGTTCATCTAGCCGTCCGCGTTCTCTTTTCGCGCGTGTTCCCGCGTGTAACTTCTCTCTTCGTCCTCCCCCCCCCCTTCTTCCCTCCTTAACCCCCGCTCCTCGTCAACCCTCTTCGCTCACTCTCGCTCTGTCCCTCTCTTCTCCTGTGTATCGGCGCAATTAAATCACCGTCGAACGATTCGGCAGACGGCTAAATAGGATTGTGAAAAGTAATCAGCCACGGGTATCAGAGTGCGTTGATCACTTCTGCATCTGTTCCAAGGGGAGAAACGCTTTCTGAAAAATTTATTTCGAGCTTGGGCTTCTCCGGGAGAGCAGGCGGACAATGGGAGGGCCAGGCGGAAAACGACGGATAAATGGAGCCGACCTAATGATTTTCTATAATGGAATAATTAATGGTTACTACAACACACAATCGTGAAAGAAATCTCCGCGAGCTCTCGTTCAATTAATCGCCGGGGAATTACTAAGAAATGACAATAATTCATCCGATTGATCCGAGCGAAAGATGTGGCGCGGTGCGAAATTTACGGATAATAATTTCAATGGCGTTATTACGTTACGCCGCGAAGAAAAACGGACTCGACGGAAAATGATGTTTCTGTTCGTCGTGTTTGGCTATTCGATTGAAAAACACGTAGAATTTGTCTCCCGCCGATCGTACGTTCCGCTTGCCGATGTCGCGTCCGCATTAAATAATGGAATATCATTGATTTTACACGAGACTATAAAAAAGAGGCGAATTGTATAAGCGTGCTTGTTATCGATTGTTAAATGAAAAATGCAAGATGCAGCCTTGGCAACAATCATAACGGACGAGATTGCTCCCACGTATTTTGCTCAACACGAACGAAACGTCCCGTCCGTGTTTGCGGATCGTAAACAATATTTTATCGAACAATTAAGTCGCACGTGTACGACCCTCGGACGAATATGTCCAGGTGGCGTCGATCGCGGATGTGCTCATGAAATCTACCATTTATCTCCATTCGATGTCCCGTTTTTGCAACTTTTATTTTCGATGCACGAAGTTAACCAAACAACAAACGGCGTGTGGCGCGCGACCAGCAAATTCGCGCGAATTCCGCAAGATGAAAATCTAGTACGCATATCTCTCTAATGAAATATCGCAGTTGCCTGCGTTAACGACGCGTCAGATACCTTGCCTCGTTAATTGAGCGACTGCTTCATTAAATGGTGAAATTACGGCCAACGGGGACTCAGACACGCGTCTGACAAGTGAATTTATTCATTATTCCCTTCATATATGTGTGTAATTATAAATTGAATCGGAAAGATTTACGCTCTCGGTCTCCCGATCGAGTTAGGACGATAAAGTAGTTCTCGCTAATAGGTAAGCGACCAGCTCTAATTTCGTGATGTGCAAAGTGCTTTATATTACGACAAGCGTGTAGAATTCTGGCGAATAACGCCTTCAGTTTAGGAGGAGAAGTGACATTTTTACTCGGCCACGATTATAACGAAGAGTAATAGAGGTGCGCGAAAAATATTCGCATTTTGTCTTTTTCTTTTTTTTTTTTCGAACGTTTATTAATTTTACACAAGAATTGAATATAAATGAAATACATTGCTTTTTTCCCCTTTAATACAAATACAATACATCGCTTGTACAGTTTCACTTTGTAATGCCTTCGATATGAAAAGCTTGGTGTTGCGACATGTTGAGTCATGTAAGAGAAAAGAGTATGTGTGAAGAAGAGATAGTCGTATAATTCGTTTTCGCTTACATATCCGTTTATGGTCCCAATACTCTCTGGTATTCTTTCCAAGAACAATATATCAAAGGCTGTATGCGTTTAAAAGCAGCACAGAAGATCATTGAGTGTTTTTTTAACAACAACAAGAGAAATTTTTCCACTCGCGAAATTTTACTTTTTGCTTTTACGCGCGCTCTTAGATTGCTTCTCTCTCTGGAGGAGAGAACTCAAGCTATTCATATGTTAAAAAGTAATATACATTTAATACACGTTTATGCGAAAATAGGGGATTAAATTAGGAAGTAGATGCTTATCAATGATAATCGCTAGTAATACTGATCAACGGTCTCACGCAATACGAACGATAGAAGCTCGCAATTGTAGTAACAACAAATGCCTCCTTATTCGTGCCCAATAGTTTATTTTGCAAAATAAGTTGACATATACAATGGGATGAGTTTAGAGTTGCACATAGAAATTAATATATCTGTAAGAAATCTCTCTCTCTCTCTCTCTCTCTCTCTCTTTCCGCATGTGTCGCGTCAACATTACATTCAATGAGCACAGCGATTAGACATTACTCTCGACTTGTCAATTATCTTGAAAAAATAAACATAACAGGAGATCAGCAAGATAGAAACTGCAGATTTCGACTTAGCTCTTGCACCTTATAAAATATTAAAACAGCCATCGCAGCGTTGAAGCTTACGCTCTCATCGCTCTCGCTATATCTTCATCGATTTTTCTTACGCATTATGTTAAAGTCTTTATATTAATCCTCTCACGTGCAATGAGGATGCTCGTAAAAACGTGACCTTTCATATTTATTATCAAATCAAATATGTTACGTAAACTCGTCGAGGGGAAATTGTTGTATCACATGGAATTATATATATGTGTATATATATATAGAGATTTTTTTCATAAAAAGCACGCGAACTTACGTTCGAGACAATTGTTATACGATTTAGCGAATCAGTGATCGATTAGATAGCTCGTGAGAGGATTAATTGTTGCAATCATTTACGACGTACAGCACAGAAGGACGGACGCGTGTCTTAGCGGGTCCAAATTTGTATTCATCACATAAGAAAAGTTTCTCGCGCTTGTTTATGTCGCTTATCATCACTTCTTATCGTCTTATCTCATCTCCGACTTTTTACTCTCGAAAAGAATATATAGAGATCTATACGATCGAACATCGTCCAGTACTTTCACACGAACAGATTGTACTGTCCTCCGTTGCAAAAGGAATTGTGTGTGTACACATTGCGTAAAATCATATTAAATCGTCGGGCGCTGACGAAGATCAATTTTATTTAATACTTTTATACAAGTAGCAGGGGACGAGAGACAATTTTGAAGGGTGAAATATGTGAGATCGAAAATGATAAAGTTACAAAGCATCTCCCACACATTAGTCAATTGATAAAAAACGAATATGATCTGCTGGCGCGTTAAAATGCAATAAGTGTGAGATATTATGCGGAATGTAGCATTTTCTCTAGGTGCGAAATTCAAAACTATATTACGTTAAGAGGAATACCTTTTTTTTTTTAAATTTATATAAACAAACAATCTGACGACGCCGTTCTGACCGTATGAAAGCTCATATACCATTCTTTTATTTAAAGAATACGGCAAATTCTTAATGTTCTTAAACGTTCAACAATAATAACGCAATAATCTTATATTATGTGGAAATTGAGTGTAACTCCCGTAACATTTCTCCTCTCCCGTTTCAGCTCAATCTTGCATCATGGACTTGGGCGATTTCTACTTTCGCGTTTCTCTAATAGTTCGCTCGTGTCTAAGTCTATGATATAATCTTCTAAATCACCCTATCGACAATTATCTTATATCGCAATAGAGACTTATAAATATATTTTGAAACGAGATTAAAACGAAAGGTTCCTTTCCAACGCTATATATAGTAATCGCGCGCGGATCACGCTCGAAGACACTTGGCTCTTCACCGAACATGACGGTGATGCGAGATATTCATTTCCCACTTGAAATCAGTACTTGGACAAGTAACAATCAATCAATCCCCTAATAGAGACAAACGAAAAGAATTTAGACACCGTGACGTTCGATTTATTCGGATAAAAACTGTCAAAGTGCACCGCGGTAATACGTCGCCACAGTTGGCCAAGTATTTCGCGCGTGGTCCCGATCGTAGTTCGACGTAGTCGTCTCGGAAGGATGATCAAATGCTGGATATTACGGAGAGAATTTCACTAATCAACGTTTCGCCCCATTTGTACGACCCACGTTGCAAAACTGCATGCGCACATTAATATATGCGTATCAATGCAATCTTGAATGATCATCATCACGATCGAAACAAGTTGATTCCCCTTGCGGGAAATAAAAAGGATGTAAATGTAGCAATAGTGGCGGGGGTGACGATATTTGTGAAAGTTGGAAAATTACGTCGACACAAAGAATTCTGGGTATACACGGGTTAAAAGGGCATCCAATTTCACAACGCCCCGTCGTAAAGTAAAGTATCACGGCGGAGCATCACAAAGCCAACATCCGATAACGTTTGTAATATATTCAACGTAAGCGTATAAAATCTGAAATATTAGTAACACAGTGTTTCTTCTGTTCGAAACATAGTTATTCATAGGTAAACGCTCGTCGGCTCGCGAGTCGTCTCGCCTTAAGAAACTATTTTGGCACTAGAATCCACATAATCGTTAGGTTTTAAGCGTCGATTCGACATCCTGAAACGTCTATACGAAGCTAATAAAAAATTCGTCACATTACGTGCGAGCGTACGTGTATGTATATGTGTATGTCCGCATGTACGTGTGTGTGCTTTTATATTTTCACGTGTGTGTGAACGTTTGTTATATGTATACCGACTCGTTTATTAGATATGAATGTTTAGAAATATAACGTGTCTTATAGATAGTACTAGTAAGGAACTTACGATTACTACGATGTGTAATATATCGATAATTACGATAATTAGCGATGCCTAATTGATTAAGCTTGAATCGGAAGTATCACTAAACTCGTGGCAACTGCCAACTCAAAACTGATCGATGACGAGTTTACAGTACATACAATAGATCCATTTACAAAATAGTGCGCGACACGCTACGTGTGTGTGATCGGATATATGACTTTATCCGCCGAACCTCTAGTAGAAATTTCCTTTTCCTTCCAATTCGAAGCGAGCGTTATTTAACTTAATTTAGCGACTCCCTAGAGATCGTCGAAACGATTTGTGAAACAATTATCACGTGTGATAATTGAAAAATATCAATGTATCTTCGGTACGTAAAATAACGAGCGTGAAATATACAACTACACGTCCTAAAAATGGAAAATAGAAAATTAGACGAAGTCTCTCCTCCCGGTGTGTCGTATATTTATATATTTAAAAATTTCTTCTTAGTATCTATCCGTCGAAATATATGACTATGTCGCTATCGCGAGTCAAGCGGTATCTGTAGTATCACTATGTGAAATGGTGCAAAAAGATTCAGAGAGCTGCGATGTCTTTTGATTAGCTCGTGATTGCCGCGTGTTTCACCGTTACGTTGGCTGCGATCGTTTCGCTCGAGTCGCGGAGGACTCCCCATCGATGCGAATTAAACGGTCGACGTGGCGAACATCAGGCTTCCGTGTCCGAAACTATCTTCTCCGGGGAGAGATTTAGACTGTCCCTACGAACTGTAAGAAGAAAGCACCGTCGTATCACGGCTCTCCATCGGACTGTACGTTATACTCCTCGTTGCATTCTCTGTAAAGAACGTCATGCGCGCTCGAGGTACCGCGCTAAGATGCCGCGTGACCTCCTTGTGACTATTATTACATCTTCTCCTCGACGATTGAACCGGTTACCTTTTGAACGCTAACTCGTTATGTGAAAGCCACCACGAGACTCATTTATCGGAGATCCCTTCCCCGAGTATTCGACTCGAGAGTCTGCGAAATATACGATCCTTGTCGCCTTGTCTTCTATGCGATTAAATAGCCGAGCCTCGCGTTCACCGGGTATGTTCCCGGGCCTGTTGTACGCGCATGTGTGTGTGTGTGTGTGTGTTTATTCGCTATACCAAGTAATATAATTCCTACAAGTACAGAGAGCACCAACCGTATTCGCTGCGTTTCTTCAATCCCTGACGAGTATCTTTCGTTGCAGTTTCCGTCTGAGGACGTTGCGATTCGAACGACGACGAGGGATAATCCCTCCACCGGCATTCACACGCATTAACTCTCCTTCTCCTCGATAGGACTCACCTCGTTCTGCAGCAGCTCGAATTTCGGGCTCAGACTCGGGAGTATACTCCTCGTGCTCGTTTTGATTTGACTATACTTGTTGTAGATGTCCAGAGACTTTTTGCGATCCATCTCGAGCGTCTCCTCGATCAATCGCGGCGGAATGCTGCCGGTTCGCTTGTGACTCGGCACGAAGACGCTGCCTTCCGGCTTGCGATCCGTCGTTCTGTCCTCTTTGTGTTCCGGCGTCAGCGTGCCGTTACCGAGTTTCCGCTGTTGTTCCTGAAACGCGTCCTCCTGAACGTCGTCCTTCAGCAGCGCGCCGGTTATCACGGGCTTATTGCTCTCCGATTTGCCGGCGAAGTCGTTGCTCAGAGCCTTCTGCTCCATGATCTCCAATTTGTTGGGCGTCGCGCCGTTCACCTGGAGATTCGGATTCGACCGCACGGCGTCGGGGAAGTTGTTGATCTCCAGCGAGTCCTCGCGTATCACCGCGCTCACGACGTCTTGCAGGGACGACACGTTTTTGGACTTTCCATAATACTGTGGCTGAAAGCGGACGATACATATGTTTTCGCTCACTACTACTACTACCACGATGACGAGACGAATTTTGTCGACTGTGCGCGCGCGCGACGTAATACATCCGATAAATTTACTTTCTCGTCATCTGCATACTGAAAATTGCGACAAGATGACTCGATCGACGGACCGACGAAACAACTGCCTCCCCTCTGTTCCACTTACATTTTTATCCTCGTCCTCTTCGCTGGTCAAGTTTCTGGAATCGTCCAACAACGTCTTTTCTATATCCGGAGACTTGTCAAATTCCACCCACTTGGATCGTCCTTCCAATTTCCTCGACAGCACGTCGGACTCGTAACTACCGCCGTACATAGGATAACCGAGATGGCCCGAGTCGTATTCGACCTGATTGCCGTAGCGGTAGCTAGGATTGGCCGAGCCTTGACTGGATATCGACAGATCCGACTGGGACAAACCGGTATTGGTGCTTCCGAACAATCGTGTATTTTCGAAACCTGAAACGACAATATGGAAAGTAGATTTCGAGGCAACGCCGCCGGAGACGATTTACCTGAGGATCTATCGTCCGGTATCTCCTCCCTGTGCACCAGCGCCTGTTGATCGGTGATGCCGGCGGTCATGTCGTCGGAAGATCCCTTGTTACCTTCCACCTCCTCCCTGTCGTAATCAGGCTGTACCTCCACCACAAATGAACATCCGCTGTCTTTATATCTCGCCGTGGGTTTGTTGTCTTCCATCGTAACCTGGAAAGGCCGATAAAATTGCCACGAAAAGAATCGCACAAACAAGAAGGAGGAGGAGATGGGAGAGGTGAATCGTAACTATTTCTTCGAATGTGACATTTGCCGTTCCGGTCTAACGTGTTTCGCGTAATTTGCATGTTTTTTTTTTTTCCCCAGTGAAACTCGAGCTTTACCGTGCGGTCAAACGTTCCGATTCTCTCGCGGGAATTCGCGAGACGCGTCTACGCCCGTCCCGCTTCTTTTCGCCGCGGGTCTGAGTTACGGGCCCGAGTCGGGTCCTCCACGCCTTTTCCTTGTTCAATAGTTGAGGCACTTTGTACACGTACGTGCGAGGAGAACGGATCGAATGGTGGCGCGAGTAGAGCATTTAGAGGGATTGAGGCGGGAAACGAAGAGGTGCGAGACATACGAAGAGAGAGAGAGAGAGAGGGAGAGAGATGAATGAGAATGTGTCCTAATTGAAGAGAAAGAGGATACGTAGGTGTAGGCAAAGGCAGTGGCCCGAAAGATTTTGAGAATCCCCGACGAGCAGGCTTCCACGAATAAGAAGAGGCTGTAAGTAGAACGATGATGGGTGGGGAGGAAATTGCCCGGTAACCTCCGACCTTACAGGGTCGGTCAAGTTCGATAATTACGAATCCGCTCCTCTTCTCGGTAACTAACCAGTCTCTGCCGACCAGCTAGGCGAACTTTGCCGATGAATTTCGCCACGGCACTGTCTGATACAATAATTTCACCGTTTCGGACAAATGTCGCTTGTCATCTGTGTTGTGAAGAGGACGATGTGTGCGCGCGTATTGCGTTCGGTTGCGACATCATTACGGTCGGTATTCTCTTATACGCGACGATAACGTACTTACCGCGCGTTCCTCTGTTTCTACGATAAGATGATTATTTTTCAGTGTGAGGGTGATGATGTTCCCGTTCGCATTTTTGCTCGTGTGATTACCGGAAGTGGTGAACTCCACCATGCCGCCGGCAACACTCACATCCTCCATCACCTCCGTCTCACACATATATCGGGGTACATCTAGGCCATTTACCAGCTGGAATAAGATAAGAAGAATATAATCGTACGATAAAAAGGGAATCCGTGGCGAAATATCTGTCATCCAAGTATATTTCATCCGAGTAGTTCCCCTGTCCCGCGTGGCGCTGCCGAAAGACTCGGCGGGACGAAACGTAAAGTCCTAAGCGTGCATAAATCAGCAAGAGGTAATATTTTTCTCTATGCCGTTGACCCGTAAGAACGAAACGAATTTGTCACTTGCGTCGAACGGTATTTCCCGCGCCGGATAGTTTGATCATCCAGACTACGAGGAAGACATTGATTCCCGACAGAACTCGAGAAGCGGTGCGATTATTTGTTCCGCGCCTCGCGAGATATACGGAGGATTTAGAGCCAGCCGGTGGGCGCGTGGTTGGCCCAATTTACGAACGTACAAAGACGATGGAACGTATAGTTTTTTTTATCTATCGCGTCGCGAAAAGTCATCTCGCGTGCAAGTAGGTGTACGTGTGTGTACATTCACGTATACACACGCAGATGCATGCCGGTTACGTCGTTCTCCGAGCGCCTTGTGCCAAAGGGTACTGAACCTGACCCAAGGGGCATTGCTCTTGCGCTGCGTCTCTCCGTTCCTTTTCTGTTAGATCGCTACACACACCGGTCGTCACGTTAGCCAAAGCGCGCAGGTATCATTGCGGGGCTCAACTCGCGAATAGCAGCCGAAAACACGCACCGAAATACGTGTCGCAACACGCGCGCAAACTGCTCAATCTCCAGCTGTGTTTTAATGGAAGAGCTGCGCCACGATTGCAGTGTTCTTTATGTTCCGCGATTGCAATTATATCCAGTAAGAATTAGAACATTCTTACCTATGCGCACGCGAATATGTCACGCGTGACGTATCGGTGCACTTTGAGAAGCAAATTCTCCTCTTTTCGAAACAAGTTTGACGGTGTAATTTGAGACAGAGTCGTTGATTTCGAAAATCCAACGAATCCTAAAGCATATTAGAGAATATTAACCCTCTCTCTGTCAATTGGGCGAAATTCGGAACATTAACGGTAAAGTGGAATTCCACCTATGGAACTTATTATCATTTTTACAGCAAAATTGTACTCCCTTCGTTATGATTGTGTAATAAACAACTGAATACGGTTTTTTGAAAATATTTTTTATTAATCATGAGATACAAAAATTCGACGACTTTGGTGGCGAACGAGAAATGTTTTTTTTAGAAAAGGTACACTGGAAAAAAGAATTAGTCTGAAATCAAGAAGAGATATTCTTATATATAAGCAAGAATATTATAATCTTCTTAGAAGATTTTTAGTCTTGATTTAAATGAATTTGTATTGATGCAAGTATTACTCGATTCAAAACTAAAAATCTCCTTAAAAGATTATAATATTCTTACTTATGTATGAGAATATTTATTCTTGATTTAAGAATAATTTTTTTCTGTGCAGGACATATCTAACCAAATCGACCACGTCTAAAAGAACTAATTGGTCACGAGGTACTGAAAGTCCGTTTGATTTTAGAGTTTCGCATGCGCAGAAGTAAACAAAGGGGACTCGGGTGGTTTTCCACCCCATCCCTTACCGACAAAGGATTAATATAAATTTTCACCGATTTCCTTCGAATTGGCTTTATTAATATTTTAAGATAAAAGCATAACATTGAGTCGCTCGACTGATGCGTATACAAACGTGTGGCGGGCATCGTGTGTGCTAAAAAGGATGCTGCGACTTGCATGTGCAGAAAAGTGTCCTCTCATTATATTACAGAAGTAAGTGATAGTGTAATCTTATATATACGATACGACTGTATAATAATTTTTCATTAACCCGTGGATCTCTTAATGCTTTTGCAGCCCGGCCCAAATTAACATTGAAGGCAATGAAGCATGACATCGCAATAGATGAACACTCGACAATTAATTCACTTAATGAAGCAAACAAAATTATTTCGATGGATAATTAAAGATTACGCAATACAAACTGAGATATCGTGTAATATCCAGAAATATAGTTCATGGCCTGTATTAGGCAAAGAAATGTATCGCGAGGTGTGTAGATCCATCGCGATCAGTAGCACCGGTTTACTACACGAGTACGTTTCGTTCGTTGGCAGTCACATCGCTGCTTCCAGCAGACGTCCATGTACTAAACACTCAAGGACATTCACCGCTTTGTGTCTGGTTTTTTTGCTAACACCGTTAGAGGTTGCAGACGGTCACGGAAGACGAATGAAGGACATTTATAGGCGAACCTTCTAGTAGTAATTACAGCAATCGGACAAATACGCCAGTCGTTTATGGCCGCCGGATATATTAGCCCCCCCCCCC